ATACTCGACAATCACGTGATTTTGTTTCAATTTTCTGAGCCGATTCTATATCATGTGATCCGGAATTCAGCCAATAAAAAACCAGAATTTCTTGTGTAAAATACTAATAAAATGCGGTTTTTGAAAATTTTTTTATTACAAACAAGATAAAATATAAGAAAAAGTAGATTTCAGTAGTAAATTGCAACTACCATTTCATAAAAGTTATATATTGATAAAAAAATTTTTTTTTTAAAAAAATTACATTTGATTCATATTATGATAATTCAGGCTGGCATTATCACAATGCATGGAATCGGCCCAAATTATCGTAAGTTCTGGCCAACATATTTTGTTTCAAATTTGGGCTGATCATATGAAAATCATGCAATTTCAAATGCTTATAACTTTTTACGTAGATCTTCTTTTAAAAATGTGACCGGTAATTTGATAGAGCTTACCTCAAAGAATAAAATTATCAGTTTATTTTTTTTAAATTGTATTTTTTTTAAGGAGTTGAAAGATTTTTAAGTGTTACATTTTTATTGTCGAGTATAGACTTCCGGCACCATATAAAAACTTTTATTTTCACACTTATTCTTCATATTTTTATTTCGTGTATTTTTGAGAAATTTTAGGTACAATTTTTTTTATCGACCTACTTCGCTGGTCATTTATCTACCCAAAAGTTACTCAATAATATATGAAGGAAGTGACCAACTCACATACCGAATAAGCCATTTTACGGCTTTACAAACCACTTTGATTCTTTTCACGAACAGTAAATTTTTTTCGCTTAACCCTGTATTTCTGGAGTCGATACTGTTGATCGCCAAAAAAATTGATTGAAATACACAAAGTTTCCTTTCAAACAGGATATCCACGATCAGCCCGGTAATGATAAATGTATTTTTCATAGATAATTAATTACGTAATAAACAAGTTAAAACTCGCAGTAAAGTTTGAATACACTATACAATAAATATTCTAATTTACCAATTTACATACGAATTTTTATTGATAATATAAAATACATAATTGTTCATAAATAAAATAAATAAACTATTTTTTTTAAAAAGTAATTAAATAAATACATCATTATCCATAAATACACTCTATATACTGTTTTTTTTTTAAATTAAATAAATTCATTAAATTAATTAAAAAATAAATAAAAAAGAAGGAATAACTATTTGTTTGCAATACTATGGAAGTGGACTCCAAAATTTATTTTTCGACTATATATATCTGTACAAATGAAAAAAAAAAAATAAAGACGCTCATCATAGCACCGCAGCGTTAGTCCGATCAACCTAAGGCGATACAAAGTGATAAAAATGGTTTTCATATCCCGGCCGGGTCAGTTTTTGTTACAGCAAAACTCAAAATATACGGGACACTTGAGAAATTTGATTGTCGGGTTGTCGGGCAGCCGGCAGTAGGTTATTATATAATCTGATATACTACTATTATACTCATGTCACGTGTTATTTATACTTTTCTAATAAATAACCTACTGCCGAGTAACCCGGCTACCCGACAACCCGACAATCAAATTTCTCAAGTGTCCCGTATATTTTGAATTTTGCTGTAAGTCAAAAAAAAAAAATTTTTTATATTATTACTATGCCGGGTGAGAATTTTTTTAAAAATTGAAAAAAAATTTCACATAAAATTTTTGAAAAAAAAAAATTAAAAGCCGGGTTATTGTCTTATTGATGTAATTTTTATATTATGAAAACCATTTTTACCACTTTGTGTCGCCTAAAGGGGAAAAGAACAAAAAATGAAAAAATGAAAAAGAAAAAAAAAATAAATTAAAAATCCGGTTTAAAAAAACTGTGAAAGGAAAAAAAATATTATTAAAAAAAATCCAGTCTTAAAAAGAACCGGAAGGAAGGGGAAAATTTTTTTTAAAAAGTTCTGAGCTTAAATAAAAGAAAAAAATCCCGTTTTTAAAAAACTGGAAAGAACGAAAAAAAATAATAAATCTGGTTTCAAAACCCGTAAAAAGGAAAGAAAAAAAAAATTTCTCGGTTTAACCGTTAAAGAAACAACCAAAAAAAAAAAAAATTTCAGTTTAATAAGAAACAATAGATAAATTCGGTTTAACCATATCCTATCACAACTGAAACTGGATTAGCGTTAGTAACGCTATCAGGACGTCAGGATGACAGGACGTCAGGACTACAGGACGACAGGATGACAGGACGTCAGGACGACAGGACGTCAGGATGACAGGATGACAGGATGACAGGACGTCAGGACGTCAGGACGTCAGGATGACAGGATGACAGGACGTCAGGACGTGCACGTGACCTCAATAGCCAATCAAACTACATGGAATAGATCAGGCGCGGACAATTCAAGAGATGTATCTGCCTTTCATAAGCAAAAATAAAGATAAAAATAAAATAAACAGACTCCCTAAAAATTTTTCGGGATCCATGTTTAGACATAGAACGACTAAAACGTGCATATTTTATTTTTTTATTCAATTACTCACGATACTTGATAAAAATGAACAAAATATTTAATTTTATAGATAATAAAAATGTTTTTATCAACTCCGACTAGCATTTCCCGTCCGATTTTCCTAACGCTTAGCATACTGTATGTGTGTTCGTACTTTTGGAAATATAGACATTTTTCTTGCGGTTATAAATAAAAATGATATTACACCTTCGCATTTATATAATTATCACATAATTCTTATACTTGTTCCCATCTTGACTTCGTAGGTTTTATTAGAATTCGATTGTAATGATTATCAGTACTATTATGTCCTATAAGTCCTGAATATTCGCTAAAATTTTCCAAAGTTATATAATATATGCTGAAAATATATATTAACTATTAATGGACCCAATTTGTTACAAAATTTCTCCAACTCATTTCCTATTTTTTGTAATTTATTTACTTCATTTTCGGCCTGTCGAATATTAGTTTTTTTTATTAATGCTGAAATTGCCATTACAGCGGAAACCAAAAATTCACTACCAGATATTGATTGAAAAATAAGCAAATTGAAACCAACAACAATAAAAAGGATTATGGTATACTGCTTCAGACTTTTCAAATCTTTCTCTAAATCTTCTTTTATATGTTTTAACGATTGAAGCTCTCTCTTATTAAAGATTTCTGTAATTTTATATAATTCATATAATTCCCACAATTTATGTATTATTTCTTGAGTTTCCTTCCTATTTTCTTCAACATTATTGATATGGATTTGTAATATATCCGAAACATAATTTTGGTCAAAGTTTGGATCGTTTAGAATTTCTAAATTATCCAATGCATCTTTAGCGTGATTTCTTAAATTATTACTCTGTACAATCGACTTTTGTAAACAAACATGAAATTTTTTTTCTTGTTCTATAATTATATTTATATGTTTATCAATATCAAGTACTCCTGATCCTGATGAAATGGCATCACAATTTTTGAGATACGTAAGAATTTGTTTAATTTGGTTTAATAATTGAAAAATATCATTAATTGACGGTTCAAATTCTGTATTTTCGAAATTTTCTGAGGACATCTTAAATATCTCTTCGTCAACGATATTTTTTTTCAAAATGAACGAAGTGATAGTTTTTTTTTTTTTTTGGAGTGACTCGTTTATTTAAATGATACTGTATATTTTAACGTATATTATTAAGTGATACGACAGATTCCTTTAAAGGACAAATTTTTTTTTTTTTTAGGATATCTCTATTTTAATAATTTTTTTTTTTTTGAATAATTTAGGGTGAACGAACGCTGAGAAGAGGGACCGGGCAGATAAGAGTGCTGATTTATAAATATTCAGCGAGACTAGATATAATTCTGTATTACTGTAATTGTTTTAAAAAAAACATGCTTGATGATATATATGTAAAAGATCTAAAAAATTTTCATTCATAAATGCAAATTACTAATTAAATTTTCATGCTTCGCGTTTATAGTTCTTCCTTAAAATGAAAAAAAGCAAAATTTTTACGCCATAATTGCTTATAAATCCGTACAAATTCTATGTACTTCAGCGTAATTATACTCTAATAAGCTATTTATTTTTATTTTATTTATCTAAAATAAAATAAAACAGCTAAAAAATTTGATTCGGCAAAAAAGGAAATCATCATACATCATGAGAAAGTATAATATCATTGTTTGACTTTTTTCTCATACTAAGCTTGATTTAGTTACATCATTTCTTCAATAGTAGTAATTTTCATGCGAAAGTCGTTGTCGATCTTACGAAAATAAAAGGCGTAGAAATTTATTTTATAATATTTGTTCCTATTTTAGTAACAATTTATATAAATCATAATTATTTATTTATTTACTATAAATAAAATCTAATTTATTTTACATAAAGATGACGTTATGATGTCAAAAAGCAAATTATTCAATATACAGTCCGTTAAGAAAAATTTGCCGAAACTTATCCCGAACCGAAATGAAACCGAAAGCACCTAAAACATATAAATGAAACATGTATGATACCCTAACTTAAAGAGGAAAATGTTTCTTAAAATCTTTTATTAATAAATATAAATTTCATAACTTTTCCAATACATTGAATAAAGAAATACCACCAATAATATTAATTCCATTCAAAATCTTCAATAGTGCGTTTTGTGTACACCAAATAAAAGTCGTATTTTTTAATTATTCCTTCTTTTTTGTATCTTTTTATCATTTCTAAATCTATATCTTTAACTGAAATGATTTGTAATAGCATAGGACGTCTTCCCTTCCAGCTATTAAAAAATAATTCTAAAGATTTTAATATTGGTACCGCATAAGAATAAATTTTAAATTTAAACAAACCATTTGATGAAGATTTAGTTAATATTTCAAATAACCCATCCCAATCAAATGTATTATCTTGATAACTATCAATAAGTATATATAATCCATTTAAATATTGACAAGTAATTAATAACATTTTTAATTCTGAGATGTTACAATTTCTAAATACTAATTTAAGATATTTAAGATTTGGACAATTTTGATAAATAGCTTGAATAATTTTCTTATTATTAGTCTGATTATGACTTATATAATCTATTTTTATTTCAATAAGAAATCCATTTGTATTTTTAATTAAATTTGTTAAAGCTTGAACAGGAACTCCACTAGATTTTAAAATTTGTAAAAAAGGAAAAGATATATTTTCCAAACAATTCCAATCCAAAATATTGTTACTACCATCCAATTCTAATATATTTAAATTTATAAAAGATGAAAGAAGTTTTATTGAGGGTCGTTCAGTAATTTTGTAATATTGTATGGTATTTGCATGTTTAATTAATGAATTTTCAATATTTTTATAATATGATTCATTATTATATGAAGAACGAACTAAATAAATATTAAGTAATTTTCTTTGAGCTTCGATCAATCTAATAATCCCATAATTGTTACTATCGATATTAAGTTCCAATTCCTTAATTGATTTACATGCTTCTATTAATTTAGATAAAATATTATCATTAATGCTCGTACAACAACTAAGAAATTCAATTCTTGAAAGACAATGTTCAGCTCCATGAACAAGTTGTATTGGATAATTAAATCTACGATTTATATAAAGGTGAGTAAATTTCGTATTTTCATTAATGAAACGATTTAATATTTCTTCTTGAACTTTTAATATTTTAGTTTGAATATTATTATTAATAATTCTAAGAATTTCATCTAAATTTAAATGTCTACAATAACTTATATAATCAAATAAAGGTTCTTGATAAGAATTTGTTAATAATTTATGTCTTCCTATTTTATTTCTTGATACATTTGATAAATGTGAAATTATCACGTTTAATAATAACGTTTCATTCTCTTTTTTTAAATTCGATTTCCAAGGATTTCTCCATAAAATTGGAATAATTGTTTCACACCAAGTATTATTAACTAAAAGGCATGAAAAAAGTGACTTTTTATCATCATGTAATTGTTCGAATATTAAGTAAAGAATATCTTTATTTAGGTTGGACATTTTTTTTAAAGAATAAAAAAAAAAAAAAAAAAAAAAAAAAAAAAAATTCCATCTAGAAACATCTATTGATTTATTATGTCATTATGTCACATGGTTACATGTCATTTATGTAATCTTCATTACTGATTACTAATCGGAAATTCGGAATATATTTTGATGATCTACTATGAAGATAATCGTTTAACCGAGATTATCGCTAACCCTTGCAAAAATATCATTCTTGATAATGCATAATATATTTACAGAAAGTCTATCAAGAATAATACCTCATATCTATCAAGAATGATACTTTTGCCTAACTTTTATTAGTAAATTATATTTATTTGTACTACTATAAAAAAAAGCGTAGACCCTCCTTAAATATGATTGGTTTAATCGGTCACCGAAATCCATTAACATTTATCGCGTAACATACTAGCATTTATAATTTTTTTTTTGTGATGTACACTAATGATTAATGCGCGCGTAACATTTTTATCATAGAAAATTTTCAAAATTTTTTTTTTATAAATTTTTTTTATTAATACAGTATACGCTAATACGCGCGTAACATTTATCTTGGAAATTTTTCAAGATTTTTAAATTAATTTTTTTATTATAGAAATATTTTTTACAATGAGATACAAAGTATGAACATTTTTCTTGGAATTTTTTATGACAAAAAAATAAATATTAGAAATATTTATCAAATATTTGACACTAGGTAAAGAATTATTTATTATTTTTTTATACAGTATATTCTCTCCTTACAAAAATAACCTTGTATTAAAAAATACCATTATTAAAATGAAAATACTTTACAAATTTCCATTGAAATTTTGTAAATATGAGTATTCAAACGATTTTATTTTTCAACACACCAACCAAAGCCAAATAACTAAAGTACTAGAATTATACCATGAATATCTACAAAAAGCACGTACATGTTAGTAAAATTACAAACTTTAGTCGAAAGAAGTTCAAACAATACATAATAATCCAAAACTCAAAGAAATCAGAATAAACTTATTTATTGCAAATGTTAAAGCGCAATTATTAGAGAAAGTATTTATTAGATTTAAAATTTTCGATAAAAAAGTTTTTTTTTAATTATTCTAATATACACTATTATGAAAATAATGATAATAAAAAAAAATTTAATATAAAAAAGAAAATAATTTGTGTAAAAAAGAACATACCAAATGAAAGAGTAGTGTAAGAGAGTGAGCGTTTATTTCGTGTGAAAAGAAAAATGACGGTACATAAACAAATGAGGCTGATAATTATAAGCCGTGTAGGATAAGAGGTCTAGACCCCAGGTCTAAAGTTTTCTCTATAAAAGATTAGTAAAGAAATCAATTTTTAAAATCGGTAAGTTCGTTCAAAATTTCTAGTAGATATCATCTATGACACAAAGGTTACCTAAGCGATCCAGAATAACAAAACTGAATGATTTAGTTATGAATTATTATATTATTAATGCGACAAAATTGACACGGTTGCAAGAATTTATAATCAGCCCGAAAAACGATTAAATCATTAAAATCACCTAAAGCTATGCAAAAATCTGGCAGGCTAATTTCAGGTGTTGGATTACAAATCTATTCAGTAATTTCAGTTTGTCGTTGTGTATAAATCCATTCAATGACAATTTAAATAATTTAACTCAATTTTTAGATTTTGGACGTTCTTTAATTAGAAATTTAGTATAACGATAAGAAAAGTTCTTTCAAAGAAAATAACATAAATCGATCGGGTGACTAGGATTAAGGACTTGTGACCGGAGTCGTACTGTCGTAGTGGACTGACGGGATGTAGATATAATCTATTTATGATAATGCCTATATAGGTTAACAAATGTAATTAAAATTTTTCTCAAAAATCATCATGTAGATAACATAATTAGCTTATTAGAATAAATAAAGAACAAAATTAAATTATTTTTATCTGAAAATAATCGTTTTCGATCAAATTTTTCAAATTTTTATTGTTAACTTGATGACATTACTAATAATAATAATACTAATTCACTCGAGTTTTCATTGATTGAATATCACCGTCGTAAAATGGAAGTTAATCTTAACCGCCCTACATATATCTGAATTGCAGGAGCCTAAAAAATACCAGTGCGTCGTAGATGATTTCAAAAGCGCCAAAAAAATTTTCCTCTGGATAACGGGTCAAACCGGATAATTTTATCCGGATATCTGAAAAAAAAAAGTTATCTAGTTAGTTCAAAATATTGATCGAAAGTATCGCTTTCTCGTTATAATGAGACTACTATCTATTTAAATTTTTCAAATTCTCTTACTACAACGCAATGAATATAACGAGTTACTTCGCTAGGACTAACCGTAACCGACTGTAATTAAGACGAACTGACTGTACTGAAAAGAGAATTAAAAGATTAGTATTACCAATAAACAAATAAATGAGAAATTTATAGAAATATGTAAGTTTGATACTTAAAATCATATTAAATTTAAGTATAAATGAAATGAAAATTTTCACCATTATAAAATACAACATTTTATTAAAAAATTTAATATCGAATTTTTACATTTACTCTAAATTACCATTTTACAGTCAAATGTAAATACTATAAACCAATTAAAACCATTCAAAGTCATCAAAATTTCTTTTGCGCCACCAATAAGCATAGTCGTATCTTTCGACTATTCCTTCTGCTTTATATCTTTCTATTATTTTAAGATCAATAATTTTATCAGAAATGATTTGCAATAACATGGGTTGTCTTCCTCTCCAACGATCAAAAAAGTATTTTAAGGATTCTAATCTAGGTAACCCATGAGAATAAAATTTGAACTTGAACAAATTAGTTGATGATGATTTAGTTAATATTTCAAATAATTTATCCCAATCACGTTTGTCATAATCATTAACGATGATAAATAATCCATTTAAATGCTGACAATTAATTAATAATGTTTCTAATTCTAAGATATTACGATTTCTAATCAATAATTTAAGATACTTAATATTTTGACAATTCTGGTAAATAGCTTGAATAAGATTTCTATTACTAATCTCGTCATGACTTATATAATCTATTTTTATTTCGCTAAGAAGTCCGTTTGTATTCTTAATTATACTCGTTAAAGTTTCAATCGGAACACTACTGGATTTCAAAATTTTTAAAGAAGGAAAAGTTAAATTATCCAAACAATTCCATGAAGTAATGATTTGCTTATTACAACCCAATTCTAATTTTTTTAAATTTACAAAAGATGAAAGAAATTTTGTTGAAGGTCGTCTAGTAATCTTACAATGTTGTACTGTACTTGAATGTTTAATCAACGAATTTTCAAGAATTTTACAAAATGTTTCATTTTCATATGAATGACGAGCTATATCAATATTAAATAATCTTCTTTGAACTTCGATTAATTTAACAAATCCATGATTATTTTTTTCTAATTCAATAAAAAGTTTCAATTCTTTAATTGATTTACATGCTTCCGTTAATTTAGTTAAAATATTATCATCTATGCTAGTACTGCAACTAAGGAATTCAACTCCAGAAAGGCAGCGTTCAGCTCCATGATTAAGATTTATTTGATGATCAAAATTTTGGTGCATATAAAAGTGAGTATATTTCATATTTTCATTAATAAAAAGATTTAATATTTCATTTTGAATTTTTAAACTTTTATCTTTATCTTCGATATTTTCATTAATTATTCTTTGAATTTCATCTAAATTTAAATGTCTACAATAACTCATATAATCAAATGAAGGTCTTTGATAAGAATTTGTTAATAAATTATGTTCTCCCACATTATTTTTTGATACTTCCGATAAATGTGAAAAAATTACATTTAATAATAATTTTTCATTCTCCTTTTTTAAGGATTTCCAGGGATTTCTCCATAAATTTGGAATAACTGTTACGCACCAAGCTTTATTAACTAAAAGGCATGAACTAAGAGTCCTTTTATCATGTAATTGTTCGAATATTGAATAAAGAACGTCTCTATTTAAATTAGACATTTTTTTTTTTTTTCAAGAAAGAAAAAATAAAATAATAATTGTTTTTTTTTTTACTCAAAACAGCGTTAAATATTGTTCTTTGTTGTTTATGTTACACAGATACATAACAAAGGTATCTAATGTACCACAAAATGATACTCAATTTGAAATCATGTGATTTATTATTTTTTTTTTTTTTGATCAGATGATCATTAGTTGAATGGTAATAGATAATTAGATATGACGATAGGTCGATAGGTCGATAGGAGGTCAATAAAATTAAAATCTGAAATGCTAATAATTATTCCGGATTCGTTATTACAGTATTATCATTATTATTATTACACCTGCTATTATCAATAATTTTATTCCTTGTCACTGTTACTATTTACAGTATAACAAGTATACAACTCGAAACATTTGGCATTTAAAATTTTATCAGCTGCTGCTGCTAAATTGCTAGATATAATTAAAATCAACTCTAGCGCATTATAGTACGACTCAATTTATTATATTGTAGTTACGCCTTGAGGTAAAATATTTTACGATATTTTAATAAACAATATGAAATAGAAAAGATAATATTTTATCATTTCCTGCCTACCAAAATCTGCTAACTAGCCCTATGATAAAAAAATATACTGTATATACTTTAAAATGTGCTTAAATTATGCTATATAATTTTAGTACATTTTAAATATATAAAAAAAAAATTTACACTTTTAAAAATTTTTAACGTATTTTAATTACATCTAAATACATTTTTTTAAAAATTTAAATATATTTAAATATATTTAATAAAATTTTTCTCATAGGGTAATTGTGATAAAAATAATTTCATATCTTTGTACCCGGATTTTTATTTTTTATGATCAAAAAATTTTTAACCAATAAAATTTAATATTTGACATTTTATTTAGAGCGTTACAACCGCCTACCAAAACTCATGTAAATTATAGAATTGTTAAATTGATTTAACTCTTCGATTCATACATATAACACAGAATTACTTTTGAATTTTTCTTGAAAATTCGTTAATTAAACATCATGCAAGTACCATACAATATTGTAAGATTACTATCAGACAACCTTAGCGAATCTTACATCCTTTGTAAATTTAGAACTGATAGTGGTGAGCAAGCCAACATTTCACGGAATCGGGTACAAATTTGTCCTTTCCTTTTTGCAAAATTTAAAATCTAATGGTATTCCGATTGGAGGTTTAATCAAAAATACAAGTGGACCACTTACTGATCATATAAGTCACGATGAAATTAGTAATAAAAATCTTATTCAAGTTATTTGTCTAATCTTAAGTACCTTAAACTAATATTTAAAAAGAGTAACATTAATAATTGTTAATTTAGTTTACTACCTAGTAAATTAGAAACCCTATAATTATTTTTGACAACCGGAAGGGAAAAAGTCTTAAGATCACTTCTTATTACAAATAAATACTTTACAGAACTTCAAGATCGTAGCGATGGATTAATGCGCAGTAACTACGTTATAAATACATAGTGACCACATTATGTAATCGTAAAGAAATTACATATATGCAGTTACTGCGCATTAAGCCATCGATACGATCTGTAAAGTAATAGTTATGCGTCAGTCACGCAAGATCTATTATTATTTTAAGAGTATTAAAAAGTATAACTAAACTCTAAACTGCAAAACTTATTAAAGGGTAAATTTGTATTTGTAGTCATATTTAACCGAAAAAAAAATATCAATTATTTAACCATTAACAAAAAATATCAGTCCGTCAAAAGCATGATCCTAATAGACTGACCAATAATATAAGTTAAAAATCGACCGTAAATCATTAAAAATTTTGATTATTAGTATGAGATTTTGAATGGGTTTATTATTTTTACATCTTTTTAAATTGTTAGAATAAAAAAGTCCATTAGTAGTTTAAATTGTATACGGGATATTAGTCACCGCGATATCATTGATCATCATGACGAAATAACTATTCTTATAGTATTTTAAATCTTCGATACGACTATCAATTATGATTGTCGATATTACGCATTAATAAGGTTTAAACCAAAAGTGCAATTAATAAAGTATAATCATTTACAATGGTGATATTTCTTTTTGAAAATTATCCTATCATTATAGTAAATAAAATAAGAGAAACTAATTTAGTATATTGCTTAGACTTAATAATAACTTCCTCCCGTAAATTTTTCAGTACCGTGTTAAATTATATTTCTATCATAATAAATTATTCGTTCAGTGGTATTTTTAAATACAATCAGTTCAACTTATAATTAAAGTAACTTTTCTATACCCAATTTTTCATAATATATTTCTCATAACGAGAGAATTTGATGAATTTAAATAGTAGCCTTATTAATAACAGAAAGTATAACGGTTTCTTATCTAGAAAAAAGATTGATTTGGCCCATTATCTGGATTAAAACAAAAATTAGCAAATTTGATTAAGGTATTCGTTGTACCTCAAAAATCGGTTAATTGGTAATTTCTATATCTCGTCCGCATCACTTTTAAAGCTTTATGTTAATACAGTAATAAGTAAGCAACAAAACATCTTATTCAATCAAATAGACTTTACCATTTGACAAATTCCTTAATTTGCTATGATCTTGTGTAATAAAATATTTTGTAATAAAAATTAATGGTGTGGTGAACAATTCTGCTCCACAGTTAGCTTATTATCAGAAAGATTTTATTTCGATAATAAATTACTGTAAATAAGCAGATTTCTTTATCAATTTATATAAATTTATACTATAATAATTTTTTAAAAAAAATTTGTTCAAATCTTTATTAATAATAATGGATAAATAAATGTAAATAAACTATTTTTAAAAAATGTTAAAGCATACAAATGGATATTTATAAAATAATTTTCGAATGTAATGTATCATCTATACCAACTTTCAAAAGTTCTTCTAATTTTTCCTGCGCTGATTGGTTTCCTGATGCGGCAGATTTTTTGTACCAATAAATTGCTTGATCTATGTCTTGTTTAATTCCTTCTCCAATTTCATACATTGCGGCAAGATCATATTGAGCTATATCGCTTCCTAAAGTTGCTGCTTTTTGATATAATTCAAGCGCCTTTTGCTCGTTAACTTCAGTTCCAATTCCTTCATTATAACACCAACCTAGGCAAAATATTCCATTTAGACTTCCTAATTCTGCTGCCTTTTGATATAATTCAAATGTTTTTTCTTCACAAATATCAGTACCAACTCCTTCATAATAACACCACCCTAAGTTAATGGTTCCTTTAAAATTTCCTAAATCTGCTGCCTTTTGATATAATTCAAATGCTTTTTCATCATTAAAATCAGTTCCAATTCCATTTAAATAACAAAAACCTAAGTTATTAAACCCACACGCATATTCTTCTTCTGCTAATTTATTAGATAATTTAAAAGCTAAATTATGATTTTTATTAATCTCCTTCCCATAAAGATGTTCATTAGCAAGATTTATTTGAGCTACTCTATTTTCTAATTCTGAAGCTTTATGATATAATTCAATTGCTTTTTGTTCGTCAAGTTCAATTTCAAGTCCATGATAATTAAAATATCCAAGTAGACATAGAGAATTTGAATTGTTTTGATTATTTAAAAGCCAAATATAAATTTCTTGTAAGGTTGTCATTTGATTATTAATATAATCAAGAACTAATTTCTTTATTATATCTGCATCTTCTCCTTTATTTAGTTCATTAAAAATGAGATTAATTATTTCATCAATTACAACATTTAAATCCCCTTCAAAAATACAATCGTTAATATTTTTTGTTGTAGGTTCAATTTCTTTTATATTTATTTTATTAACGTTAAAATTTTGAATAATTTGAGAAAATTCTTGTAATAAATTATTAGTGTTTGAAAAACTAATATTTTTGGAATTAATTTGATTATTAGACATCATGAAATAATTTAAAATAAGGAGAAGAGAGAGTTTGAATTTATTTTATTTTTTTTCTCCTTATTCGTATTTGTAATACTGTTGATCAATTTTGTGCTTCTGTAGCAATTTTTTAAAGTTAGTAGCAATTTGTCGATCAGCTGCGGCAAACACAATTTTAAGTAAAAAATAATTTTGTATAATAGAAAACTATTTATTTATTTCTATATAAATTGAACCATTATGCATAAAAAGTTGCTAGTAAGCATAAAGTATATACTGTACATAAAACATAAATAAGCATATAATAGAAATAGTGGGCGAAGCAGCAAGTGCACCACTTGAAACTTTAGATGTAGAAAGAAAAAAGTTGCGTGAAATAACTAAGGATTATGATCTAAATGATGTCTTTAATTGTGATGAGATAGGTGAATACTGGATTTTTCAGATTTTATATGCACTTATTTGTGAATATTTTTTTTTTTTTGTCATTTTAGGTATATATTGAGATCTACCTTTAAAAACTCTATCAAGACTATTCAAGAGGTTTGCTCTACAGAAAAAAGAGATCAAAAAAAGTTACAATTCTTCTTACATGTAACACAACTGGAACAGAGAAATTAATGCCATTTTTTATTTATACCTCTAAAAATCTATGAGCACTAAAAGGTAAAAAAAAGATGATTTACCTGCTGTTAATGATTATTGGAATAAAACAGCATGGATGTAGGTCTCTAACAGTAGCAATATGTGCTATTAGTATAAAGCATACTCATGATGGAACTAATTATTAATGAAAGTAAACCAAATTTAAGCTATCTACCCTTTTAATTAATGTACCAATAGATATTTAACAGAAATTTTATACTTCAAAATATTGTATTAAAGTACAATATCTATTTATTTGACTATAATAAAAATTTTTTTGATTGCTACTTAAAATATGAAATTATTAACCATATACATAATTATTAATTTTTACAAACTAAATATCATAAAAGTTAACATGTATTTATAAAATAACCAATACTGTTTTATATAACTTACATTCCCTTTCGCATAAAATAAACCAAAAATCCTTAATAGAAATTTTATTTACTAATTGATTATCATGCTGCATA